TCGAAAAAGACCACTTACCAACCATCACCACCAAAATGCCACCTACAAATCCCCCCGCATCCGACACTTCAAGCTCAGGCGGAGCTCCCCCCGGCGCCGGTAAGCTCTCTCCTCCCTCGCATGTGCCATTATTGGAGTATTCCATACTGCACGTTCCAATCGAAGAGTAGCAAATCTAAAAGAAGCGTCCACAGTGAACATCGCATCTCTCTCCGTGCCTCAACTCCGCGCCCTCCAAACCCGCCTCACCTCGGAGCTTGAGCACCTGACCTCCTCCCACCAGAAACTGCGCGCCGCGCAATCCAGATTCCGTGACTGTGTGCGATCCATCAATGATGGGGTCGTGGGGTCGGAGAAGAAGGGAACAGCTGGGAAGGATGATATACTCGTTCCTCTGACGAGCTCTCTGTATGTGAGGGGTAGGCTCGCGGATCGAGAGAAGGTGCTTGTTGATGTTGGGACGGGCTTTTATGTTGAGAAGGTTTGTTGAGTATTCCTGCAAGATCACATGTTTGAGGGCTAAGTTTGTCTTCCTCGAACAGACGGCACCGAAGGCCATTGAGTTCTACGAAGAAAAGGTCAAGGGTTTGGAAACCAATTGTGTCGAGCTAGAGAAGATTGTACAGACTAAGAGTGCTCAACTGAGACTCTTTGAAGATGGTAAGTATCAATGCCTTCTACGCGGACTTTTTCGATAACTAACTGGCTATTCCAGCTCTGAGACAGAAGATGCTAAGCGGCGAAGCTGTCCCATCTTCAACCGCAGCTGCTGGTGCAGGCTAATTTCATCGCATAAACTTTGTGACAAGAAGGGCCCTTATGGTACAGTCTCCAGAATAAAATCAGTTACCATCCTTAGGATTATATGATACCTGGTGCAAATCCATATGGATAAGAGATAACAGGACCTTGTTTCTATGTAGGCTTAGTACAATCTGGCGCAGCATTGCTCATATTGTCCAGATCGCGACTCAGCAAAGTGCGAATCAGAAAAAGCATCTGGCTTACGTCACAACTGATGCGGGCTCCTCCCAGCTGTTTGAGCTGCTCTTGCACAAGGCGAGGATTGTATTCAAAACAGTCGAACGTCTGTTTCCAGGTGTTATTGTCCTCTTAACTCGCCCAGTCCGCAGGCGCAAACTCTCCGTTAAGGTCCTAGTACGAGATTGCCTAGACCCATGAATTTTGTTTAGCTAGAAATCGACCGCGGCAACGGAAAGGGAAGGCGAGCGAGTTACATTACGCATCCTGAGAACAGAATCTGGCGGACTAAAGAGCTCAGTCAGAACAACGTGCCGAGATCTGCGTCCAACAAGACACGCATTTGAGGGCCGATGTTGACCTGCTGGCGATTTTGACGTGCAGTAATGGCTTCATCAGACTTATCGCTCGAAGGGCTCTTAGGGACTCGCTGCTTCACTTTTTCAGATGAAGTTTTTGTTGAGCCTAGCAGCTCCGCAACCTGTCTCACCAAAGCAATCAACTCCCAGAATCCTTCGCATTTGCCTCCGGTGGTCTCTTCTATGGGTGGAAAAAACGTGTTCAGACTGGGACTGTATCTCGCCGTATGTCCAAGCGGTATATTCGCATGCTGTCCGAGCAAGTTGTCCCAGTTTGGATCGAAGATCGATGCACCCCAAGAACTTGAGGGGACCTCGGAGATTGGACCGGTGATGGCGGCAGAGTTCTGTCCACCGTACCCTGACGCAGTCGTGCGGCTGTACTCATCGTAGCGGGCGATCTCGAGGATGTACTTGGTGTTCTTAAGTCGGTACCGGATCGCCGTCTTTTCGACAAATCTGGACACTGGGGCAGAAGCTGGGAAGACGACCTTCCTTTGTGGCTTTGCGGAGATGTCGTTGATGTCCGCAGTGCGTCGGAAATTGATAGAATGAGAGAAAGACCTCAGTGCGGCATTGATGGAGGATGTCTCATAGAACTCGAGGGATTTTATTTCAAGCTGCCAGTCGGATCTGTTACGCATGAATCAGTTTGGAAATGGATACCGCAAGGTCAAAACTGGCTTTACCTCTCAAAATCAATGACGCCTATCTGGAGAGGGGGCCGCTGGTCGGCAGAATGGCCGCTCTTACGTGGACTGAGCCAACGTCGTTGAGTGATTTCATACTCATGCGCACCGGGACTTTTGGCAAACTCTGCTTCTAATCGAAGCAGCGCATTGTTGGATCCCAGAAACTCAAAGTTCACTGAGAAAGCTGGTTCGGCATCAGAAAGGTTTCCTGTCACGCTGTCGCAGGGTTCGAGAATATCGGTGGCCTTGAAACATCTGGCGAGCAGCTCATCTTTACCAAGGTTCAGTCTGTACATTTCATGGGAGTCAGTTATCCTTCTACGTTCAAGTAGTAGTCATACGTACCCTGGGATCAAGCGGCCCTTTGTTTGCTCATGCAGCAACATTTCTCTAAACTCTTCAAATTGATACGAGGGCTTCTCGTCCTTGGGGAGACGGTATTCATCCAGCACAAATGATCCGAGATTGATGCGCATGCGCAAATGACCACGAACGAAGGCAACGCCACGTAAAGATCTCTCGATCGCCTGGAGAAGACGAGAATTGTTCTTTGATTGTATCAAGGCGGCTCGGATCTCCCATTGCTCGAGCTCCTTGGGGCGGGATCCCTGGAGGCGTGCTTTTCCAAACTGCTTTTTGCGCTCCATGACAATCGCCTCTTTCATGGAAGCTGGCGCAGGAGGCTCAACAACATAAACCTTGGACTTGACATTGCTATTGGCAATGATTTCACTCCACTTGGTCCTCAAACACTGCACTATTTGTCTCATCGTATCCCAAGATTGTCCACAGGCACAAATGTAGGCTGGCATGTCCTTTGGGACGAACAAGTGACAGCCGAACTTCGCCCTGATTACATCAAGAGCCTCTAGTTGTGGACCGAGGGAGTCAACGAGAGACGGGCCTTCTCTTGGCCATAGAAAGAGCATCTATGAGGCAAGGAGTTAGATTGCAAAAACAAGCTGTACTGTTTCAAGAACTGACCTGCTCCGGAAAAGTCGACGAGTTCTCAGGGGCCTTTCTGAGCTGCTGTAATATGTGTTCGCGCCTTTCCTTCAACTCAACATCTGCCTCCTTGTTGACGGAGTGTGCGTTGATCTTCGCCCACTCAAGCTTTTTCTTGGCTGGAACGGAGGGACTGGTGCACTTTGCAATGATTCTTTGAAGATGCTCCTTTGCGGAGGCAATCTGAGACGGTTCCCCCCAAAGAAAGATAGCCTGTTCGCTATGAGTGAATGCGTCTTGACCGAGGCGTTTTTGAACTGGCTTCTTTGAGTCGGATGACTCACCTGGTCTGTATAGGCAGGCGGCTTTACGAAAGCACCTGTCTTCTTGCTAATTTCCTCGAACACCTCGTGACGACCTTGAGAGACGTGAGAGCTCCGTCCAGTTATTGTGGTCCTCGCTACTCCGAAGAACCTAGATCCATGTTAATCTTCAAGCCCATGAAGAGAGACCGCGATTTACCTACTCGTATTTAAGGGCTCCGAATAGATCTGGTAGATTCACAACACCTGAAGGAAATTGGAGTGAGTTCCTCGTGCGTATATAGGGAATATTGAACCGACCGTTGGGCTGCGCTCCATTACGCCATTTGGCCTTAGAGGGCGAGTCTTTGAAGAATTGGTTTGAATTGTGTCGCGTTGTGGTCTGTCGAACTGCAGGGCTTCCCCACGCTCTCAGCGGTCGCTCAATACCTCTTACCTGTGCGGTTTGGCTTTTGGGAGTCATCATGCCGCGAGAGGTGGATCCTTGCTGGGTCTGACCTTGAGACTGTTGTTTCTGTGGTTCGATCCTTGAGACCATATTGGATGGAGATGGCCGATGAGATTTAGATGACTGTTTCATTCGACGCGACTTGGATGCCTTCAAGTCGTAGCCTGGCAGCTCCCATTCTGCAGATCATTGTCAGTTGAAGCCCAATTTTGCGGTGATCTTGTTGCACGATTTGAGGGACGGATATTTTGTTCTTACCAGCTGCTCCTCCAGGCTCGTGACTGTTAGAGGTTAGTGGTTTGGACATCGATGTTGCTGAGCGTCAACTTACTCTCTCGCCATCTCAGAAAGAATCAATGGAAGTGTGCAATGAGAGGGATAGATAGTTAAGAAAGCACAATAGTAGCACGTGATGCTGAGTTAGCCTGAAATTGATGCAGTGACTGAGTTGAATAGATGTAGTGACAGGGCAGGAGAATCAAGAATGAATCAAAAGTGAATGGATGTTAGCCAGTGAGGTGGTGATAGGGGATCAGTGAATAAGTAGTCAAGACAAACAGGGGCGTTGTGAAGAGCAAACAGAAGAACTTCTATAAGCAGAAACATCTCCTGAGCTCTTGCCTATCAGAATACAAGCATTAGGTATTGCCAAGTGGTTAACTTGCATTTGTGTCTTTAAACGAGCTAAGTACTAAGTAGTCTTAATCAGAACTACCTATGAATTGCTGAGATGGCGGAGATGTACAGCTATCAAACAGATTACATGTAACCATTCTTAGGCAGAAAATTGAGCTTGTGTTCATCCATTAAGCGTATCCTAAGCCCTGTAGTGCTAACCAGCTGTCATTTGGCTTCACTTCCAGTGCAAGTATAAGCGAAACTGAGGTTTTTTGCCCGAGACTTGAGTCGTCCAAGTATCAGAGAACCATTTCATCAAACGTAGCCCTCTGTAATGACATATATACTAATGGCTCAATGCTTTCAAAGCTAATATGCAGTCTATATCTAAAAAGATATCAGAAAGGGTGATTGATTCGAAGTAGTGAAAAGTGAGGTAGCACAATCACATTGTATACAAGACCCGGTGGTGCTATGATTTTGATTGGTGGACGGCCTAGCAACCACACTAAACCCAAACAGGGTCAAAGTGGACAACGCGCATTGACGCGTCTTAAACTCTTTCTTTAGCTTCAACACTGAGAGAAGGCTAGACCTTGCAACCCATTTCCGCCATACGCCCCAATTGAAGGAAATGGCCGTGGCCTCTGCTGGCGAATTTGAGAGTACTCCTTCTCGCAGGCACAGTGCTCGGCAACGAGCACAATTATGGATGACCAAAGGTGGTCTAGTGCGCGATGATTCCGACGACGAGCTAGGGGATGAGGACCTCCCATGGCATTGGATCTATGACATTGAGGAAGAAGATACCAAAAGCAAAGAAACGACACCGGCCACCGATGAGCCCGAGACAAAGTCGGCTCGCAGACGCGCAGCTCGCCCTAATGCGAAGCGCCGACGGAATATCATAGGGGCGCGGATGGGTTCCTTCGAGTGTCGGTTGGGTCAAATCGTGCTACTGAAATCTCCAGAACCGGGAAAGGACTGGGTCGGCATCATCACTGAGTTTCTAGAGGAAGAAGATGAGGAGGCAGAGGATGGGGTGGTCAAGTCGGTTAACATCATGTGGTTTGCGTCCCCGGATGAGTTCATGTCGACCAAAAACAAGCGACGGGCGGACGCTTTGCCAAACGAACAATACCTGACAGCAGACTTTAATGTCAACCCTATCACGTCGATCAGTGGTAAAGCTACCGTGATGTCCAAGGAAGCTTTCTTTGCCAAGTATCCGAACGGCACTCCCCCAAAGGGCAAGGAGGAATTGGCCGAGTTCAACAAATGCATTATCTGCCGGAGAGGCGTAAACCAGCTTCAAGGCAGATATACCGACGAATTCATTTGGGAGGACGTGTACCGGGAGGATAAGATCCATGACCTTGTTACCATGATCAAGGACGGGTTGAAAGCGGCCAAAAAGCGCAAGCATGTCGACGACGATGTGAGTCCCCCTAATTCTCCTGCTCGCGTGAGAAATGGCTGCTAACGGAAATGCACTCAGTACATTGATACGAAAGAGGATGATGATTTTGCTCCCTCTACACCTCGAAAGAAGCAGAAAGTAGCTTCGAATGCTACTCCACAATCGCGACGCAACAAAGCTCTGACCACCCCGTCGCACAAGAGGTACAAAGTCATATCTGACGATTTCTGGAACAGAGGTTGACAAGCTGCTCCACAGGATCGTCGTTAAGAAGCCGTTAGAGTTTACACCACTTGGAACTCGAGTTTTGCCTCCTTCTCATTTCGATTCACCATATCGCCAAGCACGTACCCTACTGCATGTTTCAACCGTACCTACATCACTTCCTTGTCGAAAGACAGAATTCGACACTGTTTATAATCACCTTAGTGCAGCAATCATGGAAGGAACTGGCACCTGCATTTATATCTCAGGAACACCAGGGACCGGCAAGACAGCTACAGTACGTGAGGTGGTTGCGCAGTTGAATGCTGCCGTTCTCGCTGAGGAAATGGACGATTTCATCTTTGTTGAACTCAACGGAATGAAAGTGACTGATCCCCATCAATCTTATTCATTGCTCTGGGAAGCGCTCAAGGGTGATCGCGTTTCTCCTTCCCATGCGCTTGACCTCCTCGAAAGAGAATTCTCGCATCCCTCCCCCAGACGAGTGTCATGTGTGGTCCTCATGGACGAGCTTGATCAGTTGGTCACAAAGAACCAATCAGTCATGTACAATTTCTTCAACTGGCCTGCCCTTCGTCATTCACGACTTATCGTCCTTGCTGTGGCAAACACCATGGATCTGCCGGAGAGAACGTTGAGCAACAAAATCTCCAGCCGTCTCGGGTTGACTCGCATTACGTTCCCTGGTTACAAGCATACAGATCTCATGGAGATCATCAGCACTCGATTGGCCAATGTTCCTGGAAACATCGTCGATGCGGATGCCATTCAATTCGCGAGTCGGAAAGTAGCTGCTGTCAGTGGAGATGCTCGCCGTGCATTAGACATCTGTCGACGCGCCGTGGAAATTGCAGAACAGTCCAGCGAGGCTGCAAAGATCGAGGATTTTGACGCGGAACAGAACGGTGACGACAACGAGTCCCTGCCCCCTACTCCCAGCAAAACCCCAGCACGACGACAGAAAGCCATTAGCAAGCAAACAGTCAAGGTCGAGTCGCCTCAAAAGAACACAGCCCAGAAGCAGACTGTGGGCCGAGTCACCATCGCTACTATCAAGCAAGCCATCCAAGAAGCAACCTCCACCCCCCTCCAGCAATCACTCCGCTCCCTTCCGCTGTCCGCAAAGCTCTTCCTCGCCGCTTTACTAGCCCGTATTAAAAGGACCGGTATTACGGAATCAACGTTCGGCGATGTGATCGACGAAGCCAAGAGAATCGCCGACGCAGCAGTTGCAGTCGCCAGCACAGGCATCAAGGATTTCTTGCTCGCCGGGAACAACGGGGCGCGTGTGAGAGCTCTTAGCTTTGCCGCTATGGAGCTCATGAACTCTGGAGTCCTTGCCTTGGAAAACGGGGCGGGAGTCAAGGGGCCCCTAGGCGGTTCTACCATTCCCAGCAGAGGCGACAGAAGCGGGAAGGTGAGGCTTAGGGTTGCACCAGAAGATGTTCGAGCCGCGTTCCGTGAGGACATTGAGGCGAAGGGATTGGGACTGGGCATGGACCAGTAAGGGTTCGGACTTGCATTTGTCGGCGTACCCAGGTATTGATTGAGACTATCTGTACAAAGACTGATTTGATAGCAAAGATACCCTCAGCTCGTTTTGAAGTGCTATAGATCAAGAAAGACTCAGAACCATTATAATGTGATTGATCCTACGCAGTTCAAGTTCCTATCATACAACAAGAAAATATGTTTTGTAGATTCCCCCGTGACCTTGCATCGACATTACTCTGAAACAAACGCTGAACTCCATGTGCGACAAAAGAACCAAACAACAGCCCGATTCTGCATTTGGATCAAGGGTATAAAGATGACATCCACGGCCTAAACTAATATCTCTGTCTGCCAAGAGTCGGTGCCCAAGTGACAGGATGAGACTCCGGCGTCGCCTCGTCGTCTGGTTTCCAGACCTTGATGGTCTTATCGGCCTCTCCGGTGATCAAACGCAAGCCGGTCCGATCGAATGTAGCAGACATGATACCGGCTTCGGCGTCCAGAGAACCCGGCTGGGCCATGGTGTCGATGGACTGGAATTTGTAGCCTGTCTTCCAGTCCCAGAAGCACATGGAGCCGTTATCACCACCGGAGAAGAGAACGTTGTCCTCGTTCACGGCGAGGGAGTTGATGACGGCATTGTGGCCCTCGAAGTTCTGCATGAAGTCGCCCTCGGGACACTTCCATTGCTTGATGCTTCCCGTGCTGGCGCTGGCGAATGTGAATTCTCGCGGATGGATGGCGATGTTGCGCACGCCCTTCTTGTGGTGCGTGAGAACACCCATACTCTTTCCGGCTGCAAGGTCCCACAGGCGCACTGTAGCGTCGAGAGAACCGGTAATAATCTGTGGGTCGGCCTCCTGGCATTTCAAGTCGGCGACGGTGCCCTTGTGGCCTGATAGAACGTGGACGTTGCTTCTTGTCCGCATATCCCAAACTCGGGCAACACCGTCTCGACCACCGGTCACCAGAAGGTCGAGACGCGGATGTACAGCGAGGGTATATACTCCGCTCAGGTGACCGTGATAGTGGCGGATGACCTTGTTTGTTTCCAGATCCCAGCACTTGACCATTTTGTCTTCACCACAGGAGAAGAGGTACGGGTGTCGGGGAGACACGGCCAACCCGCGGACGGTAGAGATATGGCCGGTCAGCGTCAGACGAAGAGCACCTGTCGCAAGATTCCAGATCTTGATGGTTCTGTCACCCGCACCGCTAGCAAACCATTCGTTGTTCGGTTCCACTGCCAAACTCCGCACCCATCCCAGATGTCCCGAGATCACTCTCATCAGCTTCCACGGAGGATGCCAGTCAGGTCTCTGCTGTCGCGTAGCCGAGGGTCTCTGAATCAGACTCTTCGGCTGATCTTCACCTCCCACTCCGCCCGCGGCTGGTCCAGCAGCCCTCTTCACGAGAGACATCGAGGCGCCGCTGCCGTCTGCTTGTGGCTTCGTTTGCGCTTGGATCTTTGGGCGCTTCGCGCGACCTGCTGCTGCTGCTTTCGCTTGCTTCTCGGCGAGAGCTGGAGGTAATTCCTTCACATCTGAGTATTCTGCCTTTCGTCGGTAGGACAGTCCGATCGATCCATCGGCGACACTAGGTGTGACCATGAGGTATTCGGAGCCGAAAAGTTCAGCGGTCCGTTTTGCGGACCTGCGGACGGCTTCGTCCGGTGTGGTAGAAGGGAAGACGTCCATGGTATTTGAATGGTAGAAAACTCAGACCAAATTTCAGAAGTCCGAATGATTGTTCAGGGCGGTACTGGATTTAAAAGACTGACGCAGGTCGTCAGTGAGGACGTGCTGTACGCGTCCTGGACCCCGTTTGAAGGGCCTAATTGTTGGTGGAATTTGCTTGAGTAAAGTCACCGCATCCGTGATGTGTCGGACAAGAAAAGCGACTGTAGCAGAAAGGTGCAAAGGGCGACAATTGAGAGCCGATGGTCAAGGTAGTAATTTGACAGCAGTGACCTCCGATTTGCCTTTCGGCGGAGAGAGCTTTGCTGGGTGCCTGAGGCAGCAAGGTAGATTTCAGGTGTCAATAGCTCCCCTCCAGAGCTTCTTGCCATGCTCCACACTTGTCGGGACAGCCCAGTACAGCATGATGAACCCAGATCAAGAAGCGAAATTTCCTCTGCATGAGGCAGCTAGAGAAGGCAAAAGTACTTCTGTTACTTTCCGAAAATATCTAAAAACAGGAGCTAACTTGCGACAGCTTCGACTGCCGAGTCGCTGTTGAATGTAAGTGCGCGGAAAGCTGCCCCGCCGCATATAGATCATCCCAAATATCTATTGCTCGGTCTCAACAACGAAGCGGCTGTCCTTTGTTTGTCCATGCTGATCTGATCGCAGGCAAACCCGAAACTCGCTACGGTCAAAGATGAGGATGAGCGTCTCCCCATCCACTGGGCCGTTGCGTTCAACCACCATGACATAGTAGAGCTCTTAGTAGCTCAGAAGAATTTCGATCCGGACGTGGAGGTCAGTTGAACTCTCGCATGTTACTTAACGGGCTGCTAATACTCTTCTAGGATGGATCAGGATGGACTCCGCTCATGATCGCAGCGAGTCTGAAGAATGCAGAAGGCGACCCCATCATTGACCTGCTACTACGGAGAGGCGCAGACGTCAGCGTCAAGAGCGTCTCCGGTCAGGTATGTTCAAATAACTACAGAACCAGCTACTATTTGCTCCTTCCGCCCGCTCACTTCAAGTAGAACGCCCTCCATTTCGCAACATCCAAAGGTAACATCTCCACCGTGCGCACGCTATTAGCAAACAAATGCAGCGCCCGAGTCAAGGACAGAAGAGGGCAATTACCACTTCACCGCGCTGCGGCAATTGGATCTATCCCTATTATCAAACTTCTCTTGGAGGAAGGGAAGAGCCCGGTCAATGCTACCGATATCGATGGCTTAACGGCTCTGCATCATGCCATTTCCGAGGGTCATGGGGATGCGGCGATCACATTGCTCAAGGCTGGTGCGGAGGCCGACAAGAAGGATTCGGAAGGTCATCTGGCTATTGAAATGGCGCCTGATGCGAGAGTGGGTTGTCCGCGATTCCGGTTGGCCGAAGTATAAACGAGCTGACTTTCGTTCTCTTTTAGGTTAAGAAATATATCTTGCAGATTGCTGAGAGAGAGGGTATTGAACTTTGATTTGAACGCAGATAGAATATTTTACTGCAGAGCGATTACCGTGTAACATGTATCGGATACCCAGGGCCTCATTCCTCATCTCCATGAATTAGAATGGGACTTAATATAAAGCGAATCGCTGCTTTTAAATGTTGAATATTCTATCAGAGGGTAGTCTGTATACATGAGATCTTCTAGATCTGAAGCAGGAGAAGTTCCCAAGGGAACCAAATATATACACAAGAAAGGAAGAAACAAGAAAAGCATAGTCAATGGCTCTTCCGAAACGAGACGAGTGGAGGGAAAGGCTTTATTTCATGGTGCTATCGACCAACTCACGATATATCTTCTTGAGATCGGCAATATCAGCCTGAAGCTCTTCGACTTGCTCGCTCTTCTCGCCAAGCAGCTCCAGAGTTGTTTGGTAGCGCTGGTCCAAGTCTTCAAGTCTTGTCTCCAGTTCCTTCACGCGAGCATCAGAGGCCTTCTTTTCCTCTGACTCTCGCATGAGGTCAACAACCTGCTTTCGAGCCTCGTCACGTTGCCTGGTGATCCGTGCAAGTTCGTCCTTGGCAGCGGCACGTTCGCTCTCTAAGCGGCGAACTGTGGCGCTCATACGCTCAACCAGCTGAACAGATGGCCCAGCACCGACTGTCGACTCCGAGATGATGTCGTTGATACCTCGCGAATGATGACTTGGGGTAAATCCATAAGCGGACGGGGTAGCCGGTGTCGCGGAGCCGCTGAAGAAGTCGTCCGGCTCGAAGGTGATGACAGGAGACTCCATGATCGGAGGGTTTGACAGACTTGTTGACATCGGTGGGGATAAGACGGGAACAGGAAGGGAATTCTGCCGCGGGGGAGTGCCCACCTCTGATGATGTCGTGAGGAGCGTTGAAGAACGGCGACTCGTCGGCCTGTAGTCTGACAGAGACGCCCCGGTTGTGTCAAGGTTGCTCGGTCTACGACTGAGAGCAACGGGCGACTGGGTACGCGGTTCCTGGAGTGAATTTTGAGTGGACAGTGCGTGTTCTCGCCACTTCATCCTCTCATCCTCAAGTTTCTGAGCCCATGTCGCATCGCACACCTTCTTCTGCTCAGCGAAGTCCTTCTGCGCAGCAACCAAGTCGTCTTCTGCTGTTCTGAGCTTTTGGCCCAGCTTCTGGATTTCTTGCACATGCCCTTCAAGTTTGCTCTCCAGATCCTGTTGGGTCTCCTTAGCATTTTCAAGCTCTTCCTCAAGCCTCTTCGCTTTGAGATTCTGTTTTTGATGTTAGCCGGCAACTAAGATTGACTACACGAAGGCCGTGCTTACCACTTCACGCATCTTCCGTCGCATTTCCCCTTCTCGCCTTGCGACATCGTCCCGTTCCTTTTCCACATTGGCTAGCCTTGATAGTAGCGAACCCTCGAGGGTCTGCCAATTCTCACTAGCGACTGCGTACTGCGTTTGCAAAGTCTCGATCTGGCGTAAAAGTTTGGCCTGAGTTTCACCGATAGAACCGGACGAGGCTTCTTCTGCTTTAGAGCGAAGCGCCTCCATTTTGCTTTCCAGAACAGACTGCTCCCCTTTAAGCTCGGCCTCAAGCATCCTAGCCTTCTCCTTCTCTTGCTCTATGCCTTCCTTAAGATCTGCAACTTCCCTCCTTAGTTTTTCCTCATTAATCTCGCGCTCAGTCTTCACACTCGAAAGTTCCTCTTCCAACTGAGCCGTCCGCTGCTTCTCCTTCTCCAAAGCATCTGATGTGGCTTTGGCCTCCGCTGCTTCGGCACGCGCAACCGCTCGGGCGAGTTGTGCCTTCATCTCTTGAACTGTCTGAGACAATGCGTTCCGCTCGTTCGTGACGGCCTCGAGGTCCCGTGCGACCTTTGTCTGGGAGGATAGTGACTCGTTCGCCCGTTTCTCCGCAGCCTCAGCACGCTTTGCTCTAGCTTCATAATTCGCCAGGTCCCGTTCGAGTTTCTCTGTTCTCTTCTTAGTCTCCATCTGTATCTTCGAATTATCTGCCAGCTGTTGTCGGAGCTTCTTGATCGCCGTTCGATGGTCCATCTCCGACTTGGAGAGCTTTTGCCCTTCCTCAAACAGTAGCGCAATCTTTTCGTCCTTCTCACGAAGCTGCTTTTCGACACTCCCAGGCTCGGCGTTCGCCGCAGCTTTCCTAGCAGACTCGGCTGCTTCTTTGGCCAGGTACTTTAGCTTGGATTGTAGCGCATCAATTCGTTCAATGTACAAGTGCAATTCCTCCTGCCAGCGGGTCTGCGCTGCCTCGTGCTCCGCCTGTAGCTGCGCAATGGCTGGATTATCGCTATTTGTATCCGGCGCGATGTCTTTCCCGGCTTGTTTCGAGTCTTGCGATACTCGCGGGCTCTCAAATTCGCCGGCCTCATGTTGTTCTGCCGTGCTCAGTTCTTGCGAGGGTCGTTGTTCGGATCCTATGGACTCTTCTGTAGATACAATCTCGTCAATATGCGATGCGGTGAACTCCTTGGAATTTCGCGAAATAGCCCCAGAGTCGTGACTTGTCCTAGAGCCTGCCGGTAGTTCCAGCGAGCCTGCTTCTCGGACAAGCGGGCTATCCGGACGTTCTTCTGCGGTCCCTGTAGGCGAGATAATACTTGATTCAATGTCTAAACTCGACCGCGTGCCGTTACTCGGTAAGGAACTGGCTGGCGAAGAGACCCTGCCGGGAGGTGACTGTGATACACCATTCCCGGCGGCATTTGATTTGGCCATGGCTCGAGCTAAGCGTTCATGTAGACGATCATTTTTCCGCGCATTGGATGAGCTCCGCGAAATAGCTGGAAAGCAATTAGCCATGCGATTCTCGAGACTGCTGCGGGGACATTCAGAGACTCCATACTGCTTGTAGTCGGGTTGGGACTTGTCGCCTGTTGTCCTAAGCTCTCGTTCTGCTTTGACTTGACCGATGTGGACCTCGTCAACGGTTTCTGGTCCTCCTCCTCAGCCAAGATCATATCTAATCTGGATTCCACGCCGGCGACTGCCTGCTGCAGAAACGAGCCGACTTTCCATTTCGATTTCGATCCTTGTGTATTCTGTGCCATGGTGTCGTAGACAGCGAATGAGTTGGTGTTTCCCTTGACCCGGTCAGCTACTCGCTAGTAGCAAATCACCTAGCCGTTGTCATGGGAGGCAGCAGTTCCGGATGACGATGATGCGATCTGATGTTCCTTTGTCGTCACAAGTTCGACGAAACAGAAGGATAAATCTAATTGTATGAGATTAATGAGAGTCGAGAGCAAAGTTATGAACGAATGACAGGGAGATGAGAATGGAAGAAAGCCCAAGCCAGAAGGAACTAATGCAAGAACGACTCAAATGTCCACGTTAATCAGTACTAAAGCGACTGCCTGCTTGCGTAGACCGAGAGCGGCCAGAGCAGCCAAAACGTGGACTGCCCGCCTCTTGGCATTATTACCCGATGAGACGGGGAACTCCATCTATCTCGAACATCGTCATAACCTCACAGCTCCCTTATCATTGTTTTTCCCCATCCCTTTTTTTAAGTGAAGACGTCGGCGTGTCCTTCCTTTAGAATTCCAGACGGATAGACAGGCATCATGTCATCGACGCCTCTGGATCCTCCGACTTATTTGAACTCCTTGCAGAACAACATTCGAGCTCGCCCGATCCCGTGGGAGGGAGCCGTCCGAGCTGGCAACATCACCGACGACCATCTTAAGAAGATCAAGGCTGTGGACAAGGTCCGCAAAGAGCAACGCCGCCAAACCGTTGAAGGCGATCTTCAGGGCTATGTCGGACTGCTTTCTGGCAATGCCGATAGCAAGAGTGTCTTGGATTCGGCTTCCAAGAGGACCGATATTGTGCAGTACATTCTAGTGCTGGCGGCGGACTTGATTAACGGTAATGCTATATTTGAACTCTACGTAGAATTATATATGCGCTGACAATTATTTCTACAACTTAGATGTCCCTTCGCTTTCCTCCGCATTGATCGCGCATCCTAGCCCCTACAAGCCCTTCCTCCCGCTCCTGCGTCATTCCACCAACGCCGAAGATCCAATTCCGCTGCTCACCTCCACATTTTTGACAAGCCTTGTCTCTCACAGCCTTGCTGCTTCTACCAAGGCAGCCGTTCGCGATGAAGAGGCGCTTCCGCAGTTATACACCTATCTTTCCACCCTGACTCAGAACCAAGACAGCGGGCTGCAGGATATCGGAGTTCAGGGGCTGTCGGCGTTGTTACGGAATTCAAGGTCACGGGAAATGTTCTGGGATCAGAGGAAGGAAACCATCGACCCCTTGATCGAGATTCTTCGTGCTGCTGCGGGAGCGAAAGACAGCAGTAGTGCGAGCACTCTAGCGGGCAGTTCGAGAGCCATTGAGCCCGGCCTTTCTGGTGGTGTCGGCCTACAGCTCTTGTACCGCGTTCTCTTAGTACTCTGGCAGCTGAGCTTTGAGGGAAGTCTTGTTGGAGAAGGCCTACAGTCGTACGTTCACCATTTAACATAGCGAAGCAGGGAAGCAGTCCGTGGCTAATTCTCAATATTCAGGGACTATGAGTTTATCCAATTATATACCCAACTTCTGCGTCTATCCCCGAAAGAGAAGACGACTCGTCTGCTTCTCGCAACTTTGAACAACCTCCTTTCCAGCAATCGCACGACTTTACTTCCAGTTGCTGTTTTTGTCCGCCTTCCTGCTTTGCTATCCAACCTCTCTGGCCGCCATTTGACCGACCCAGACCTGCTGGAAGATTTGAACGCATTGTCTGAGATGCTAGATGAATACACCAAGACACAAACGACATTTGATCAGTACGCCGCCGAGTTACAGTCAGGCCACCTTCGCTGGTCCCCGCCGCATCGCAACCCGACATTCTGGGCCGAAAATGCCCGTCGCATTCTGGATGAAGGGAACGGAGCGCTGCCCAAAAAGCTTGCCGAGATTCTGTCCAAGAGCTGGGATAACGACAAGCAGGTCCTTGCAATTGGATGCAACGATGTCGGTCAATTGGTGAAAGAAATGCCGGAGAGACGCGGGCAGCTGGAGAAGCTGGGACTTAAGACTCGAGTTATGGAGCTGATGGCTGACAAGGACGAGTCTGTGCGGTGGGAAAGCTTGCGAGCCGTTGGAGAATGGCTCCGTTACACCTTCGAGGGCTGATCGCGTATTGCATATGGTTGATACTACAAAGAATTCCCGACGCCTGATGTTCGAATTTCCGGCGGTGTGGTCATTGTACCGATGACATCTGTCCTTCTTGTCTCTTCGTTCCTGAGATGAACATACTGTTTCCATTCTGGATGCTTCGCCAGCGCGCTTTCTTTATTCTGTTCAGCTGTCTGTTCAACTGTTCAAACATCTTCATCTGTAGTCAATAGCGGTGCGGATTGGGGTTTGATAGATATATCCTGTTTGCTCGCATTCTCCGGGCTCCAATATTATACACAGGCTCCAAAGATCTACGCAGTCTTGGATCGTCTTAATTTTGAGGCACCCGTTAGTATCAGTTCTAGCCCAGCAAAGTTTGAGATGTTCCACTTTCATCGTATTTCGCACCCCACATTGATCAGAGTATGTTGTGCCCGGGCCATCACGCATCAGCAGGAAGAATAACGCATAGATAGGAAAGGTGACGCCCAACAAGCTGTTCTGAAATCGCATAATATCAGAGATGCTCAAGTTTGTGCCCATTAGGTCTTGATCGATAACCTCCAGGTGGGCCTTGTGTGTATGATCGGCCGCTAAGGGACTCCAATAGAAACTGTACACTCTCAAAAGTCTGTGCCTTAGAGTTGAGACTATCTCACCGGGCCGGCGTTTGCGTTATCTCTCGATCAAGTCCCACAAGAGACCCCGACTCCTGACCATTGTTGATATCGTCGTGTTTGCTTTGTGTCTGTGGGTGTTCTTTTATAACATCTGTTGAACTTGGTCCGATCACTCTCTGATACGAAGTATATCTCTATTTACGCATCCGCTCCACGCTGATTTACAGAGGAGAACCCCCACCGCAGATCATTCCGACGCTACCCCGGCAAGCGGAAGAAAACGCAGATTTTGAGAACGCGGTGAAAATCCAGGAGTCTCACCCAATCCATGTCCAGATCATTTAATGGGTGTAAACGGTGCAAAGCCAGACGACAGAAATGTGACGAACAGCGACCCGTCTGCGGTCGTTGTGAAGCGGCTGGGGTGCAGTGTCGATATGCGATGCAGCTACAGTGGGGAGGACGGACTTTTTCGCGGTCGAGGTTAGGGGCCTGTATGAGCAATGGAGGATTGCAGAAGCTTGGTATGTCTTCAATGGCCTTTACTTTTGGCTTCGTTGGCTGATCATTTGTGACGCTACAGAATACTCCCCCGGTGAATTTATCTACACAACTAAGTCCCCCTCCGCTACGTCGAGTACAGCGCTCTCTCCGCGTGTTGACCCCTTCTCCTCTCTGTCTCCGGACCAAAAGTCGTTACTTCATCATTTCATCCAAGATGCGTCGCAAATTACGGCATGTCACTCCAGCATGCAAAGGAATATCTGCAAGATGCTTGTCCCAATGGCGCTCCAGACCCCTTCGTTATTATATGCGACGATGGCGCTGTCAGCAATCCATCTACAAGCACTAAACAATCAGTCGGAGAACGTCAAATCCGCCCCGCATATTGCCCGGTTAATGGCGCTCAGCCTCGAGCACTTCCGTAAGGAACTACAGAACCCAAGCACCAAGGAGTCGGATGCGCTCCTCGCAACGGCGCGCACGCTCTGTTTAGCGGAAATCCACTCCGGGGCTATTCATCCGAACTCGTGGCGAGCCCATGTTGAGGGTGCAAAGGCTCTTATGCTTGCGACGAATCGCAAGGGAAGTGAATCACCGGGTTCGTCGCAGGGTTTCCGTCGGTACTTGGACCGGTGGTACCAGTCGATTGTCTCTCTAACAGCACTGACGGGGAACGGGCCGCCCATCGAAGAGGCCACGGAACAGTCAGCCTCCGAGATCATCCGCCAACAAGACGCACCAGACTACCTCGACGACTACTGGGGCTTCACAGTAAACCTGTCGGCCATCTTCCGCGCAATCGGGGCGGCAGCCTGGCGGAGTCAGCACGACACACAAAGAACGGGGTTGATTTCATCAGACGGCGCCGATGCGGCCATCGCACAGGAGGCGGCTGTCCTCGAATCCTCTGTGCGGACGCTCATGGCTCGGGACGCGAGTTCGCAGCCTACATTCTACCCAGGTGTCGCGGAGGGCCTCTCGACCGAATGCGTGCGGGAATTCATGCTCTGCAACGAGGCGTTCCAGGACAGTGCGCTCATCCAGATCAACCGACGGCTCCGTAGACTGCCCGCCTCCTCGCCCCTCGTACAGCTCTCCGTCAAGCGGATTCTAGAGTGCACGGCGCAGATTGGGCCGTCTACGGGGCTGAGTCCGTGGACGATGCTCACGACCCCGTTGTTCATTGCGGGCTGTGAGGCCCAGGCTGAGGATCGCGAGAGGGTCCGGCAGTTGCTTTCATTGCTGCATGATACCATCCGTGTGCCGAACGTGCTTCAGTCATTGAAATTTCTGGAACAGTACTGGGCTAACCAGCTGAATGAGGATGAGGGCTGGAGTCAGTATCTAGGTAACTTGCTCCTTTTTCGATATGTGAGTCGAGCTAACAAGGTCCAGATCGAATGAGATTCGATTTCATCCCGTATTGATGCCGAAGGGTCTCTCATTATATGCGTTTATGACTAGCGAGAAGTGAGCGTTTTCAGTGGTTTTAGGTTTTTTTTTTGGCATTATGTACAGAACGTTTTAGGCGCCTTGGCCTCACGATAGTCTTTTGAGAAGTTCAGATATCCCGGCGTTGGTGGGTACTTCAGTTGTATCTTGTGCAATGGATTGATATGTATTCTAGCCATCTACGTTCACAAACCATTGAGGATTTTGACAACAAACTGTATACCTTTTCAATCATCAACTGGACCCAACCTTTCGTACTTCTGTGCCCACGAGATGCCTGAGAGTCTAGGTTTGCATTCTTTGCCAAGGGCATCTCATCAACCCGGGTAGTAGCTGATTTCCTTCAGGTCCTAAGAAATGTTACCCCTAACTGTTACAAGAAAGCGCCACAACAAAGTCTGATAAATATTACTCTGGTACATCTTGTGTCGGGCCAATGATCACAGTCAGCATGACAAGAGAGCTTATTCTTCAGAACCTGCGATTGATCATCACTATTCTCGCTTTGCGCCTTCCCGTTAAGTTGGGACATATCCCATCTTCCCACTTCCGTCTGAGCTATGTCTCGCAGCTCATATAGGTCCAGTGGGAGGATATTCTCCAGACTTGCCCCAGGTCTGACTGACCTGCCAAAAAACATCCGCGTCAGTTGGATTGACTGAGTACCCGGTGGTATGCCTGGTGGAACCGGTAAGATATGCTTCTTTCGTCTTTAGCTAGCTACAACACTATAACGATGGATAAGACTTCCGTACCTCATGTGGTAGGCATGTTTGACTGTGCCATTGCGTACTGAGAAAGCGCCGGGTTTGGAATCGCTTACTTCCAGACTGCAGATGTGATCCATGCTTGATCGTCAGATTTCGAAGCCGCTATCCCATATACTGCTTGATGATCGCTAAAAGGCGCCTCGCAGTGGCATCATCCTCACTGCCCCGACTCACAGAATAAGAGCAGGATATGGAAGAATCACTGCTCGCACCGTATCAGGCGTGACGCTTGATGAGTGTCGGCGGCCATACTGATGTTCTGGAGACTGTAGAAGGGCTTGAGGCTTCAGGGTTTTGGCTCTGTCAAGGAGTTGCACGGTTAGCGTGTTATATATGTCTCTGTTCTAAACAGTTCTTACCATGTAGCGCTTCTGCGGGTGAAGATTCCCAAGACGGAAAGTGTGCTTATCCGGGATTTGACTCCTATTTTCAAGACAGCAGACATGCTTGACCTTGCTACAAGTCCTTTTCGCACCCTCCGCGCAGTAGCACTGTCTGTGCAGATGACGCAAGCAGAGCCAAGAGAGATGAAGCTCAAGCTAGTAGCTATGTTTAGAAGCCAATATTGATAGTCCTCATTCACCCGACTGATCGAACAGATTCACAGATGACTATGTTTCAACAAGTTTCTATCCATTCACCTGTAAGTTAGGATAAGCTTTACTAGAATGTACTTGAGGAACTGTTACAGGATATAGATAGTAGAAGAATGTGATGTGTCACAGTGTCACATTCTTTCTACAGGAAGCCTAGATCGTATTGCATAAGTCCGCATTGGCCGTAGTTTAATTGAATGGCATTTGCATTCTTCAAGACTCGAGAGGCCAAGATAGAAATTATTTCTTACGTTTCGTTTGATGTTCTGTTGTCAAATATAAGTACTGACTACCTACCGAATATATCAGCAAGTGTTGTTTGTACGGAGTACCTGATTTTGATTGAAAAGTCCCTTGCAGATTGATGGTCTTCTGTTACTTTATTTAGGACAGTCAAGCATTGACTATCTGGTCAATAGTCGTACAATAAAGCAAGCCACTGCTGAGCCAATCCAGGATTGCTTGGATATATTTAGCGATGTGTCGTACCATCAGGCATCATATGAAGTATCAAAAACTGGGAAACATCGAATTCAAGGTGGATATGACGATGAGACAAAACGGAGTCTGGGTCTCCGGGAACCTGAATCTTTGTGGCGCGTGGCAGAAATAGTTCGTAGTATGGCCGGCGACAGTTCTTCTGGCCGCTGTTTCATGTTAATTTGTTTTCTATATGGCATCTATGGCCCGATGCGAGTTGCAGAATGTTTTTTATCGCCTAGACGGTCAAGGAGACGTTTGCTAAGGGCCATGCGGCGTTAAGGTTATGCACATAAGGATGACTGCCGAGTGGGCGCTTAATGCAGCTCTTGGATGGAGGGATTCTCCTGGACTTGAGATTGGCGAGGCGCTCATACTCCAATCTGATTGATTCGCATCAGATCCCGTGCGTGTGTTCATCACTAGGAAGATAGACACTGAATGCCAATGATAGGGATGATTTTCCTGTTCTCAGGCTGGGTTACCCCTGAAAGTGTCTGGGCTCCACAGTGGCCTTGGCTTGGTTTGCCGATCGCCCAGTCTAGTCTACTAGTAGTCGGCCTCGCTGAGCCGTGCGAGAGGTGGCCTTGGGAATGAGAGTCGAGATGTTACATTTGTACGGAGTACACTCACTTGACAATTGAGAGTAGTACTGGTGGCAGGGCAGATCAAAACAGTTAGCCCGTAGTGAGAAGGATTCAGATGTTAAAGACCAGTAGTGGAACTGCTGTGTCCAGTGTTCTGGACTCCTCAAAGAGAGCGATCGGAGAGTAAGTCTTTTAGGCGAATGCAGACATCTTTCATCGATACAATGGGAGTATCATCATTCGCTGTGCAATTATAGTATGTAGCGCAGTAGTCTTCAAACAGCCGCGAATCGCGATGCTGATATCAAACCGTCCTTAAGAAAAGCTCCACCCCGTCTGTGCAGCGCCAAAAAGCCACGGAATCCAGCCAACCAGGATGCTCCAAGAACAGCTCTGATAGAGGATTTGGTTTTTTAGTTTTCTTAGTCTGGCTGCATACCATCTTAATCCTACCTAGAGTACTCGAACTAGTTACTACTGTCTAGTGTCTAGACTATTATTCCTTCTCCTTAATTCTCCCGCTGCAGGACCCCTTGTGCTCTCTTTCCTTTGACMCCCTTGTTTCTTCACAGCCTTTCTCAGTCTCCTAACCACCCTAACTTCTTTTCCCCTGACACTGACCCCAATTGTTACTATATCCGGTCAATTCTCCTTCATCCAGATATCCACTAGTGGCCGCGTGTCATCCTCAAACCGCCCCGTGCTCTCTCTCAATCGTCCTGAGAATTGCCCGTCATCAACATGAGGGTGCGTCGATCGAGAGAGCTACTAGCCGTCTAGTCTAATCTTCATCTTCATTGACCGTCGTTCCACCCCCCTCCCCTCGTCCCGTTCCTGTCCTGATCGACTTTCCCTCTTTCTTCTCCCCTCTCCAAGATGCCCGTGGACTGGCCTTCTCCGCCTGCAGCTGGCACCTTGACCACTTTAGTATCCTCTTCCCCCGACGCCTATCATCCACACTCCCAAGACAGTCGGAGCGCCAGTAGCTCCAGTTGGCCAAGTCCTCCTCCCTCTGCTTCTTCTTTTCCTACGCCTCCTTCTTCTTCTCATCACCACCATCACCCTTCTATCCCCACCGGTAGTGCTTCTCCGGTGCGCAGAAAGCCCGTCCCTCAGCAGCATGCTTCTTTCCCTGTGAAATCTTCCCGCCTATCTAGGCCTTCTTTAACGTCTCCCATCACGCCAATTGATACCACTGCCACTACTCCCATTACGGCAACTACAGCTGGGGCAGCTACCTCTTCTCCTGCGGCCAAGACATCTACAAACCCTCCACTGGAGGCCACCAAAGCCCTATCCTCTCCTCCCGTCATCAGAAGCAACCTCCCTGCTTCTCACTCTTACACTCTCTCTGCTGGATCATCAGTGTATGAAGAAGACACCCTTTTTGTACCTAAGGACCTCGACAGGTATGACAAGTGGCGGGCTCACGCTCGCCCTCCCGTGCTTCCTCGAGGCTCACCCCCTCGCATCCCCCCTTAAATAGTCGCCTGTCTTCGCTTTCTTCCGTTTCTTCCGTTCCTCTCTATCCGAGATCCAAACTCAATGTCAGATGCCCCCATTCGGACGCTATAGAACTAACCTCGTGCTTCAATTGCTGTTCCCCAGATCCTCTCGAGGCGGCACCTCCGCTCCCCCTCTTCGGATAGATACCTCCGCCGCCTACTGGCACGGGGAGGACGACGAGGAGTCCATCTACACCGCTCAATTCTCGAATGGAACCCCATTGCACAACCGTCTTGTCAGCGAACCATTCATCCCTGTGCTCAACTCTCCGCCGGGCCACAAGCGTGCCCAAACCATGGCATTGCGTCCATCATCTAACCGCCCACCACCTCTGCACATCGAGTCCAGCGGCCGAACCGCATCGGCCAGCTCCTTGGACTCGAAACAGCCCAAGACCCCGGGGAACAAAATCAGCTCCTTCTTCGGCTGGAAAGCCGTCACCACATCACCCAGCGCGGAGTCCTCGAGCACCGAGATCTCGGATTCGGGCCGGTCCCCTCTCCCATCCCCGATGCCTCCTTCGATGCCCACGGCGTCCTTCTCCATCACCCCCTCGACCACAGTACCGTTCGATCCCACCCGGGTACCGGCCCGCAACCCTTCCCTAAGCAGCGCCAGTGTTCTCGAGGCCGGGTCAGCCTCGAAGCTGGCGGATCTCGAAAATGAACTCCGTGAGATCAGTTCCGAGCTGGCCGGTTCCATTCGACGGGAGATGGAACTGGAAGATCTGGTCGAGAGGTTGCAATCCGAGATGCCGGCGGACGCCGCCAACCGGCGCACCAGCGACTATTTCTCCGACTCTGGAACTAGTTCTATACGATATATATACGATGCCAATGGAAAGATTGATGATTTGGACAAGTATCGGCGAGCAGCCGAGCAGGAACGCGCACAGCTCAAGGTGGAGCTGTCGCAGAAGTGGCAGGAAGAAAGAGCCCGTCGGGCCGCAACCGAGTCACATGTTCAGATACTTGAATCGCAAGTAAACCAAGTATGTTTTGCCGCATTTCGTC